ACACATTTAAAGCCATAATTCATGATAGTACACATTATAGTAACGTGGAGAAATTTCATTACCTAAAATTCTGTTTAACAAACGATTCTCAAAAGGTATTAGAATTATTTGTAGTTTCAGGAGATAATTATCAATCTGCCTGGGATGCTTTAACAAAACGGTACCAAAATAATAGAATCATAATTCAAGAACACGTTTTAGCAATTTTGAACTCTCCGATAATTACAAAAAATTCACATACTGCGTTAAGAAAGTTAAATGACGACCTGACCATTAATTTAGTAGCCCTCAAAACTTTAAAACAGCCAACCAATCAATGGGACGCCTTGATCGTGCCCATAATTACTCTTAAATTAGATTTCGTTACCAAAAGAGAATGGGAAGCCTCACTTGGCACCGAAGTTCCAAAAATTAACACATTACAAGAATTTTTGCAGAAACGTTGTACGCTTTTAGAATCTCTGAACGCGTCGTCAAAAAGCAATAACGAATCAAAAGGCGCATTTCAATCGCGAAATCAACTCACTCAAAATGCGCCCCAACATTTGGTCCTTCGAGCCGGATCGCCCAAGCCAGACGAGAGAGCACTTCAGGGAACACAAGGTAGGACTTTTATTAATGTTTATAATTGTGTGCATTCCCTCATTTCTGTCGCATTTCTCATAAATTCATTTTAAATCATTTCCCAAAAATCCACGAACATGAGCGAGTTAGAAGCTCTAATAGCGCGTCGTGGTGTGATAAAATCTGTTTTTCAAATGTTGGGACGCGTTGTTTAGTGGAAGTAGGTACCCGTTTATCTTAAATTGCTTGCTCGAAGGATCATTTTAAATGAAACACTGTATGCTATAAACTATTAACTTATATTTAAAGATACATGTTGTTCGACTTGTTCGTATGCTTGTTGGTCAGATACTCCTTTTGGTTACAATACAAAAATACAAGTGGATTGCAACCCCCACCCTATAAGGGTGGCAGGTACAGAGGACCGCCCGAACAGTGATTACGAAGATTTACAAGGGGTACGGTTTATGGCTTAGCGGCAACAGCAGCAAGAATGGATTATAGCTATTTTTCGGTTTCCGCTAAACGAACGGCAGAACTTGCAGAAATGCAGGAATTTTTTAAAAGTACCACACAAAAATTCTCAAACTATCAGCAACTAGATGGCTGAGCATGCAGCACGCCATCAAACGTGTTTTAGATAATTGTCAAATACTTTTAGATTATTTTTGGGTTGCTTAGTTGGAAGATAATTCTAAAATAATATCTTCAATTTTGGATCAATTAAATAACAGTACTACAAAAGCAGTTTTGCTATTCCTCAATTACATTTTACATTTTTTTAACACTTTTTAACACTCTCTTTCAGTCGAAAAAAATGTTGGTTCACGAATTACAACAGGAATGTAGAAATTTTTTTAAAAATATCATAGCACATTTTATAAGAATATTTAAATGATTTTACTATTAATTGTAAAAACCCGCGAAACTTTTTAGAATTAAAAACAATTGATTTGGGACCAGAGTGTCGTTTCTTCTTAAGTAACTTGCCAGAAGAAATAGCTTTAACCAAACCGGAACAACTGCATACCCTTGAAATAGTTTCAAGTAAATTTAATTCACTAGAAAACATAAATGTCACTGCAATTGATATAGAATGGAAGAAAATTGCTATTAATTTTAGCGAAAGTAATGTGGAAAGGCAAAAATTTCTGGAAGGTTCAATTGAAGACTTTTGGCACAGTTTAACGCTAGTCGGGATAACGTGTGTCCACTGGACACAGAACCAATTTTAATGTTGAATTACTTGAAAAAAATAAAAATACATCCTCCAAGTTTTAAGACTTTGTCCAATTGCATTTTGTTAGTACCTCAACAAACAACTTAAAATTTTGAATTTTATTTTTCGGAAAATAAAAATTATTAAATTATTTTGTAAAGTATCTGTATAGATGTGTCCGCTGGACTCACTGTAGTTTTAAATGGAGACAATGTGACGTCCGCATTTCTTCGCGACGTTGCGTGCAATAATAACCGATTAGGACTTTTTCATAAACTGTGCAAAGGTGAAAGTGGTTGTGTACTCGTGGTTGTGCACCTTATTTTTTGTTTATACCCAAGGTTCTTGTTACTCTGAGGTAATTCGTTTTTTTATTACAAAAATTTACGATAGTGGTTGCTGTTTTATATAAAAAAAAGATTTTTTACAAACTTGTTCTAACTTAAATTTTCATGAACGAAATAAGAAACTACTATTTACATTTTTATCACGAATTTTATGCTAAACACAAATTGGAATTTCGGTTAGATAAATGCACGTTCTTAAACTCTGAAACTGTTTGCTTGAGTTATTTAATAAACGAAAAGGGTATCCACCCGAATCTCGAAAACGTATAGTGTGTTAAAAATTTTCCTGTTCCCACCTGTTCGAAAATATTTTTTTATTTCTGTGAGTTTACAAGTCACCTTGCTGAAATAGGTTACCGTGCCAGTGGAACACTTCGTGACAATCGGTTAGGAAATTGTCCACTGAAAAGTGTAAGGCAAAATAAACTGTGAAAACAAAAAATAGCGGACATTTCGAATATTGCTTTTCCAAACAAGTCGCCGTTGTTCAGTGGAAGGACAAGAAAATCATGTGTGCTGGCACAAATTTTGACGGCATTGCAACCAAAACTTACTTCAATACTCAAGAGACGCAAAATCAAAAATAACTGTACCACAGCTAGAGATCATAAACAAATATAATAAAGGGATGTGAGGAGTAGATCAGTTAGACGGAATGGTAGCCAATATATCCTAAAAAGGTTCTCACAGAACCCTCCACATCAAACGTAGCGATTAATTGCGATGCCATGGCGGCATTCCCCAATTCAGGGTGTTGGAATTGACCCTGATTAGGTCCTTGACCTCCATGCGGAATTCGAACTCTATTTAGCAGCTGTTGTTGGAAAAGGTTATTCACCGGCTGTAGTCCCTGATTTTCTCCTTGAGCCTCATCCGGGGAGATTCCATCCCCTAAATTGTTCTGTCCGAACATTTCTCCGTCGACCTTCTTTTAATTCTTTTCGTCGATATGCAAAAGTCCGACCGAAGTTGGAATAAAACTGTCTAACGACACCGCGCGTATTCGTAGCTTTTGTTCTGCGATAATTTTCTCCGTCTTCGTGCTGATATTCAGTAGTATGAAAAGAGGGCCGTGCTTTACAATTTTACAACAACCCGCTTCTCAAACCTACCAGCTGCCTATTTGATTACCGCAATTTTTTTTTATCCCATTGATTCATGAGACAAAATTTCATTTCACTGTGAGACATGAGTTGACGTTTGTTTATTTAATCGTAATTATATAAGCGGTCGCTCCATGCAAATTTATTTCATTTGACCCCCTTAATTTCAAGTGACATTTTTGACCTGAACTATGGGTAAGTATCATATATTACATATTTTCTTTTATTTTATTATCATATATACAGGACGATTCAGATAAGATAATGGCGATGCAACCCAAAATACAAATTTCATTTACGCCTTTGATCCAATTTCAATTAGGATTTGCAAGTTGAATCCAAGTTATCATCTTGTCTCACTCTGACATCAGTGCAGAGAATGATTATTAGTGCCATTCAGTTCTCGCGGAATGATAGAGAAATTAGAGAAGTCTTTGCGGTGTAAACCCAATAAAAAATGTATGAAACAATGAAAAATTAAAGGTAGTCAAACAGTTTTTTTTATAAATCACAAATTGCTTGTCAAAGCACTATTAGAGCAACATAAGATAACTTGGATTGCAAATGCAAATCGTAATTAAAATTAGATCAAAACGTAAATGAAATTTGTTTTTTGGGTTACATCGCCAGATCGTCAGACTCATTATCTTATCTGAATCGCCCTGCAGAGAACAGCGATTATTAGTGCCATTCAGTTCTCGCGGAATGATAGAGAAATTAGAGAAGTCTTTTCGGTGTAAACCCAAAACAAAATGTATAAACGAATAAAACAAACAAAGGTAGGTAAACTGTTTTTTTTTTTATATAAATCATAAATTGCTTGTCAAAGCACTGTCAGAGCAACATATAACTTGGATTGCAAACGCAAATCGTAATTAAAATTAGATCAAAACGTAAATGAAATTTGTTTTTTGGGTTGCATCGCCAGATCGTCAGGTTCATTATCTTATCTGAATCGCCCTGTATATATATATATATTTTTTTTCAATTTGTTCATTTTACCACCCTTATATGACTGAAGAGAGAGATATAGAGCTTTATCATTTTTTTTTTCTTTTTCAGCACCCTGTGTGACTATTTTATACGGGCCTACTCCCCCTTGTTTGGTCGACTTAGCTATGTTAGTTATACCGGCCTACATGTGGGAGAACTTATCCCCCATTATTGGGGTAGCTAGGCCCAACCACCCCCGGCCTTCAATGGGACCTAATGTGCTCCGTATCGGCCCGATGATACTTCAATGGATCTCGGACCCCTCAGGAGTTGCGGTCACTTTTTGGTTGTAATTTACAAGAATATAAATTTTATTATTTTCTTAATTTTATTATTTTTTTTTTGTAATTATTTCTGAATAAATAATTTAAAATGAATTTACGTTAAATTATTTCTCATACTTTTATTCCCTAACTACAGTGGGATGGGTGCAAGGCGTTTGCTCCTATCGTACCATCACAGGGCCAAAACTCTGATCTAATTGGTTACTCTTCAACTTTGATTATCTGATTTCCTAGTGGATAAATTTCATAATTTTTACCAATGGTTCATTTTAGTCTGCAAGTGTATTGAAAACACCTCAGACATGTCCTGTATGTACTGAATTTTTTTATTATAGAATTATTTTAAACAAAAAAAATGTTTTTGATTGTTTCACTATTAATTGTGACCTATTTATTTTGGTTTGATTTTAATTAACCTCAACTTTGATAAACAAATTTTGCCCATTACACATTTTTTTAACCCCTTTTTTTTTTTTTTTCTTTGTTACAGACTTCCCAGCTGGTTACTGGGGAGATTTCCCGGTTAACTACGTTACCGTCCACGGGGTCCTGACGGACCTTGAAATTGACCTTATCATGGACCATCTACCCCAGGACCTGCTCCTAGAGGCGGAGCGAATAGAGCTCCATAGGGAAGGTTTGCTGCCACAGGCCCCGTTGGCGCTATACAAGATATTTGAAGTCATCAATGGGTCGCTCGCCATCGGGTACGATTACCCGAGGGGGGCAACCCTTTGTGTGGATGTCTTTTTATAATTAACTTCTTTATATGTTATCTTTTAAAAATTGTTTATTTCTTCATATTTTATAAAAATATATATTTCCTTTGTAATAATTTTACGTGTTTAATTTTAAGTGTTTTATTTTTTTTTCCCACGGTTTTATTTAAAAATCGGTAACGCCTTTCATCCACCCACTACTAGTATTTTACAAAAATACGTTATCTGGTTTTCAAAAAAAAAAAAAAATTTACTCCCCCATCTCTTAGGCCACACAAGGTTTTCTCGCCAGACCCAGACTCATATCCCTCATCGCACCTGTCTTATAAACATTTTTAAGCATGCGCTGTCCTTGATCTTCTTATCGGTCTAACGTGCGCCACGTTCACACATTTCTTAAGTGTGAAAATTCCTTTTAAAAGCTTTTTACATTTGAAAACACCTGATTGCCATTAACCGTTCATTTACCCCTTTTTGTTCCATTCTACCTATACTTAAAAAAAAATTACCCTTGATTATTCCGGTCTAAAGATTTTATTGACATGGTAAAGGTGCCAATTATCATTAATAGTCATTGTTTTTCTCTCCCAAAATGTGACTGAAGCTCCTACTGACTGCGCCAAATCGTTTGTGGCGGGTTTTTGAGTTTTATTATTTACTAGCTGTCAAACTTATTTTCGTATGGGTCAAGCGGTGGCCCGCCAACAAAGCGATTAAATTTCTTTGAACGTAGGACCTCAGTCAACCCGTGAGATCAGTCAACTTTAGGAGAGGAATGAGCAGACAAATAAAATCACTGTTAAGTATTAATTAATTATATTAAGGGTAAAATAAAATACTTATACATGAAATAAAAATTAAGTACAGGAAATTACACATGAGATTACCAGATTAAAGTTACCACTAACTTTCCTGACATTTTACAGTACAATTTCAAAAGTCCTTTTAGATTGCAATGATTTGTTAGAAAAACTGTGGACAACTGTAGTGAAAGAAATGCAACCAATCTAAGTATTGATATAATCATCTGGTTTCTCATGGCTTAAGGTAACGATATTTTATAACACAAAAATGATCATAACTTATTATTAAAGTGGGGTTCGTAAATTGCGACCAAAGACCAAAACTACATCGTTCTCATTTGTTTATAATTGTGTCAACACTCTTGAATTCAGACTCATCCCGCGGCAGACTCTTTAATTACATTGTAAGCAGTTTTCTAATGATAATTTGTTTAGAATTCCAATCCGAATGAGAACTATCGCGTACAATAATAATCGGAAAAATATACGGTACGGCATGGTAAGTTAGAGCAGCAGAACAGGCGAAAAATTCAACAAATCAAAACTTACTCATTTCTTATGACTGAAATCGGACTCAGAAGGTGAACTTAGCACAAAACTGTTTTGGCTCACAAAGTAACTACTCGCGTATTCACTCTGTATGCAGAATGGTTACTCCAGATTCGCGTCTTCGCCTTTTTATGTTATGGCCCGACACGTCATCCCTCGATCGGATTTTTCCTATGCACGGGGAGAGGTCATCCTAGGTGACCCAAGTGTGAACTTTTGTGAATCATACAAAGCATTTAAAATTCCACGCCGTCTGCGAAAAACTCGCCTGCTCTAATTGTGTTTACGTTATGGCCTCCCGGAAGAGTCTGGGTTCTTGACCGCCTTTTCAACTACATAGGTTTGGTCTTTTTACAATAAATTTGTAAAACATTTATTTTACACATTAGGGCTCTTTTTAGCCCGTCACAGGACGAGTGTGTCGTCTGTCAACCAGAGTAAGAAAGATGGCGAATAAAGAAACAGAAGCATGCCGTGTTTGTCTTTTCATTAATTTGTGTTTTATTTAAATCGGCCCACCCTCGACTACAAATAAAAATTTTGGGTTTTTTGGTTAAGTAGGAGTAATTAGAAAATAGTTTTATTTTTTTTTGTAGTTTAGGTATTTCAGTGTTTTAGGTGTGTGGAACGCGATACACAAGTATTTTTATTAAATTTTATTTTAGTAAGTATATCTTTAAAAAATGAGATTATATGCTTTTATTCTTCGACATTGTCAAAATTTACGGTTTTTCTCCCGTGTAAGGAAGTTTTGACAACTATTGGGCATTTCTCAATACAAATTATTTTTAACAGATTTAAAGCAAGTTTAAGCCTTGTTGACTCTAATTCGAAGAATAAAATGTTGTATTCCACTCGTTTGAGTGTAAATCGGACGCTTTATTCCACCTCGTGGATGGTAAACCACTCGTTACACTCGTGGTTCAAAAATCCACTCGGTCAAATAAAGAGTCTGATTTACACTCAAACTCGTCGAATAAATAACTATTATGAACAGTTTATATATTTTTTATATTAATCTTTTAATAAGTATTCAAGGTCCATTTATTTCATTTTTTATTCTGGATTTTGATTTGATACGATTTTTTAGGTACTTAAAAGTGTTTTCTTCTTTTATAACAATTATTAATTACTCCTAGAGTAATTTCAGTATCATTATAATAAATGTTAAAAAATATTATTTCAATGTAATCAGGTAGTGGTGATCACTAGTTATAAAAGTTAAAATACCAAGTTAGTAAAAACGTAGTAAAATCTAACAAATTGCAGGGTTGTTTAAAAAATTAATTATCTATGAACTTCTATTGCTTTTGGGTGCAAAGGTATTAAAATATTAATTTGTAAAATTACGATATGACGGTGATGGTCTTAAATTGTGCTTTATTATAATTTTGCATGTATGCATGCGACTTATTACTATAGTTTTGAAGCACGGGATTTTATAGTTTATCACATCTCATTTCTGCCTTAGCATGCCATTATTTTGCGCTGTTGTTAATTGTGGTAACAAGTCCGCAAAAACTACTGTTTTAGTTTTGAAGCACGGGATTTTATAGTTTATCACATCTCATTTCTGCCTTAGCATGCCATTATTTTGCGCTGTTGTTAATTGTGGTAACAAGTCCGCAAAAACTACTGATATGGGATATTATCGGTACAGTAACTTCATTGACTGGAATACTCTTTAAAATACTAAACCTTTAGAATTCCTGCCGCTAGAATATACACGGTGATTCAGATAAGATAATGAGCCCGACGTTCTGGCGATGCAACCTAAAAAACAAATTTCATTTACGTCTTGATCTAATTTTAATTATGATTTGCATTTGCAATCAAAGTTATCTTATGTTCCTCTGACAGTGCTTTGACAAGCAATTTATGATTTATAAATAAACTGTTTGCCTACTTTTAATGTTTTATTCTTTCATACATTTTGTGTTGGGTTTACATCGAAAACACTTTTCTAATTTCTTTATGATTCCGCGAGAACTGAATGGCACTAATGTCAGAGTGACATAAGATGATAACTTAGATTCAACTTGCAAATCCTAATTTAAATTGGATCAAAGGCGTAAATGAAATTTGTTTTTTGGGTTGCATCGCCAGATCGTCAGGCTCATTATCTTATCTGAATCGCCCTTTATATTAATGAGCGACAAACACATCTAGCAGTCTTAAGGAGGCAAAAGTGGATTCAGGCTCTAAAACGTGCTGACCCAACTGAGAGAAAGTTGAAGTATGCCAGAGTGTGTTCTCGTCAATTTTCATTCAGGTTGATAATTTTACATTAGTAATTTTGATTTTATATTAATATTTTTTTAAGTAAGCTTGCTTATCTGGAACATGAGACCAGTCCAGACTGGGTTCCTTCTTTACATATGGGGCATCAAATCCATCAGATGATGTCACCCCTAAGTAGATTTAAGCGGTTACAAAGACAGGACGCTATGGTATACTTATAGGAGTTAAATTGAAAAATAAGAATTTATTTTTATATTTTTTTGCTTGCGAATGCTGCATGGTCTTGTTTTTTGGTGCATGTAGTAGTTGCTTCTTTGGATTTACCATTACCAAAAGGGAATTTACTTTCTAGATTGATTTGGAGTAGTTTTATTTCAATATAGGTTGTAATTTAATTTAATGATTCACAGCAAGCAGAAATGCTTGGGGAAACAACTACCCCACCTGAACCTGTTACGCAACACGTAAATCGACTTACGGAGAGCTTCAAAGTGCATTAGAAAAAGCTAAAGCAGAAATAATAAAATTGAAAAACGAGTGCGCAGTTACAGATTAGAGGAAGAACATTTTGTTGAAAATGAAGAAGATATTTCTTATTTTACAGGGTTCCCCGAATACGCATATCTTCAAAATGTTGTAAAGTTAGTTGAATCCTATTTACCACAGAGGCGAGTTGTGTGCTAGTTTTGGTGAAATTGAGGCTGAATTTTCATTTCAAATATTTAGCCAAAATATTTCAATGTCATCGTACTACCATAAGTAGAGTTTTTGAATGCACAATGGAAGTGTTGTACTACAGACTAAAAAGCTTGGTTCATTGGCCACAAAGAGAAAATTTACTGTGTAATACACCTGCATGTTTTAAAAATAATTTTGGTGAAAAAGTAACAGAAATTATTGACTATTGAGGTGTTTATCCAAAACTCCTCAAGTTTAGACGCGGCAGCCAAAACGTGGTCTAATTATTTATAAAACCATCACACCATGAAATTTTTAATTGGCATTTCTTCACATGGAAGCATTATTTTTATTTCCAATGCTTATGGGGGTAGAGCGAGCGACAAGTACATTACCGAACACTCAGCTTTTTTGGATAACCTTATCCCAGGAGACCTGGTTTTGGCAAATCGTGGATTTTCCATTGACGATAGTGTACGGATATATTGTGCCGAAGTCAAATACCCCTCGTTTTTTAAAGGTCGAAAACAACTGGAATAAAAAGAAGTGGAGGAGACCAGAAAAATTGCGAATGTGAGAATCCATATCGAAAGGGTAATAGGTCAACTAAAGGAAAAGTTTGGCATTTTACAAAGGACTTTTCCAATCAAGCAGTTCAAGAAAACAGATGACGAAGGTTTCGCAATTATTCACAAAATAATCAAAGTCTGTTGTTCAATAATTAATATTTGCCCAGGAATAGTACCAATTGATCTTCGATATTTGACGACAGATCTGACCGCTCATCTCTTTCCTCTGAGGATGACGAATTTCGTAATCCAAAAATGGCAAAAAAAGGTAAAGGTGAGTATTTAGATAAGTAACATTTTACTTTTTCTAATGATTCTTGTCGACTCTCAAAAAACTATAAGACATACAAAGCCTGGTAAAAGGGGCACGTTTATTTTATTTTTTGCTTTTAAACAAATAAAATAAATTTTGATAGACTCATTTGCAACTGTCAGTAGATCCACTACACGACCTTGTTCGGTCATCAATAATGTAGATCCGGCTCCTGGTATTTTAATAGAATTTGTAATAGAAAAGTTTTTTTTTAGGTCGACAGATAAATCAGAATTCAGTTTTTTCTTGAACTCGTGATACAGTAGTACAGGGTGGGTGAATGCATAGAGTGTACACAATTACTTAATACTTAATTTCAATTATGTATAGGATTCCAAAGGCAAGTGCTTCGTCATTTGCTACACAATTTTTAGGCTGTAGAACTAAGTCGCACAGGGGGTGAAACAGCACAAGAATTGACCAGACAACTAATGTTTAAATTGATTACAAACTGTTTAGACCAAAACTTTAGTTGGTAGTGCGCAAAAGGAAAAACTCCTTTCAAAACAACTGACGGAAGTCATTATACGTAAGTGTACTGTACAATTAAACCGATTTTGTTTTGAAATCTTTGTATATTAGAGGTAGTACGTTTGAACAAAAGCATGACCAGGAAGGCCAAGATAAAGTAATAAAGTCAATAAAAAAATGGCTTGCAAGAGCCAAAGAACGTTTCCAAAATAACCTAAATAAATCAAAATAAGTTTAAAGTTAAATTTATTTTTGATTTTTTTTTTTTGTT